ACTCCTGCAAATTAACAAGAAAATAACAAGCAACTCAATTTTTAAAAAATAGTTGAAAGGCTCAAAAAGGCACTCCAAGAAAGAGCATATTCAAATGACCTATTAGCATAAGAAAATATGCTCAACATCCCTAATCATCAGGAAAATACAGATAAAACCACAATGAGACACCCACTATATAAACCACCAGAATGGCCAAAATTAAAAAAAATAAAACCGATTGCCAAGTGTTAGTGAAGATGCAGAGCTCAGCTCTCAGACATGGCTGGAGCAGGTGCAAGTTGGTGCAACCACTTTGGAAAACCGTTTGGCTGAACAGATGCACATTCTAGGACCCCCACACTTCTGCTCCTAAGTATGTGCCCAACAAAAATGAGCATAGACGTGCATCAGAAGACATCTACTAGCAGCACTGCATGGAATAGCCCAAATGGAAAAAGCTCAAAGGTGCAACAAAAGTAAAAAGGATTTTAAAAAACTGGTATTTTGGGCCGGCCTGGTGGCGCACTGGAGAGTGCGCTGCTTGGGAGTGTGGCGGTGCTCCCGCCGAGGGTTTGGATCCCATGTGGAGACCAGTTCCCGCTCACTGGCTGAGCGCGGTGCGGGCGCAACACCGAGGGTTGCGATCCTGTTGCCGGTCAGTAAAAAAGACAAAAAGGAAAAAAAAAACTGGTATTTTCATATAATGGAACACTATACATCAACGAAGAACAATGGACTACTGCTACCTGCAACAACTTAGATGACTCTCACAGACACACTGCAGAGCAAAAGAAGCAAGGCTCGAAAGGGTAGACACTGGATGATTCTATTTACATTAAGTCCCAAAACAAGCAAAACCAGTGTATGGCACCAGCAGTCAGAACCATTGTGACCCTGGTGGGTAATGACTGGGGAGGACCTGAGGGAGGCTTCTGAAGGGCTTGCAAGGTCAATATCTTGGACTGGGTGGTAGTTACATTTTTCTTGAGCTAGCTTGGGTAGGTTCCTGCTTCTTATAACCACTTCTTGACCAAGCCAAGGCTCCAACGTCCCTTTCCTATATTATCTCCTGTAACTCCTGGCCCAGCATCTATTGCTTCAGCCACACTAGATGTAAGTTCCATGATGGCAGAGACTGGCCACCTCTGCCTTGCTCACCTTGGGGTCCCCAACAACTGGCACACAGTGGGTGTTGAACAAAGAATTTTCAGATGCATAAATTCACCTCCTTCAAATAACTTGCATTTTCTACTTGAGTTTCTGCCTTACCCTTTGCCTCACCCTTTCCCACTATCTTTCAAAGCCCAACTCAAACCTCTCCTCCTCCAAGAAGCCCTCCTGCTTGTGCTACAGCACTCATGTGGCTCTCTCCCATTCCTGGTTGTTCTAGCTATTGGTCCTATGTCCTAGCTTCCTACTCCCTTGGGCATGACCTGTAAAGGGCAGGGCCTTATCTCCTGAAGGGATCATAAGGAGCAATTTTTGTTAAGTGAGCCTGATACACTGGAAATCCATTCATTCTTTTATTTGTGTATCCAACCAAACCACTAATACTGATGCTGTGCCTCCCGTGGGCCAGGCCCATGCTAGGTTCTACAGTGGAGTGCTGAGAAGGCAACAGGGCTTACAGTCTAATGGATGAGATGGACAATGATAACACACCACATCATCTCTCTCTCTCTCACACACACATGCATACACACACACTCACGCACACACAAAAGGGTCAGGGTTGTGAAAGAAAAGTCCAGAGTATTATAAGGTGGAAGCAAGGAGACCTGATCTCGTCTGGGGGCTTGGGGAGGGCTTTCCTGAGAATCAGAAGTTTGAAAGGAGAAGGATGAGATAGACAGACAAGGGGCAGGGCAAGGGGTGCGCTGGGGAAAAGGAACTGCAAGCAGAGGGAACAGCATGTGAAAAAGTACTGAGGGGGAGGACACGGGGCACCCTAAGGATAACGGCTTCTGGGTATAATCCAGAGGCTAAAGGAGCGAGTGGCACAGATGTAGCTGGAAGGTCAGGTTGGGCTGGACTGGACAGACCCCCATGGGCTCTGATGATGATTTGGAGAAAGAAGGGTGGGATGCGCCATCCAAGGTTTTAAGCTAACAAGTCACGTGATCTGGTGTACGGGGTAGGGGCTGTTGCTTTGATCAGGAAAGCCCAGGGCTGGACTCCAGGAGCTAGGGGTTTCTGTCTTGGGCCTGCTCACTGACAAAGTGGCATTTCTGCACAGGGACTGTAAGGTCCTGGAGGAAGTGCCTCTGGGAAGGATCTGCCTTGGGCTACCTGCCTGGCTGGGGAAGGTCCCTGAGCTGAATTGCAGGTGTTCACTAGGGAGTCACTATATTATTTGAGTGATTTTTAGAAAAATTGCATAGAAGACCCAGCCTAGTTCTTAGGGGTGGCTGTACCCACGTGGGCCTTAGTGCTTTGACTCCAGGCATTTGTTCTGTGTCCTGACCTTTTTACTGAGCAGTTTGGTTGAGTTCAGTCATTTTCCAACTGGACAAGGCTGGGTAGAGGGTGTCAGCATAGCTCTCTGCAGGGAGGTGGATACTTCACTGCACAGTGCTGGCTGCAGGGCATGCTGGGAAGGGCAGGGAGGACACACGAGGGAGGGGGGCAGGCCAGCCCAGGGAAACACAGATGGGTAAAGGACCGCTCCTGGGGCTAAACCTGGGTGGTGTGCCTCTAGTCTGTCTGCAGGTTGGCTCTGAGATTCCAAAACAGCAGTAACTGTGTTCAATATCAGGGATCCTCTGACTTTCAGTGCACAAGGCAAGGAGGAGCAGGTGGGTACAGAGGGACCAGCCATGGGAAAGTGCCTGTAGGAGTCAGGCCTTGGAAGTGATGGCTCAGCATGTGGAGGACAAGGCAGCCAAGCGTAATAAGAGCAAGGACCTTATACGCAAAGACCTTAGACATTGTTCTAAGAACGTCACAGAGATGCGCTCATTTTGTAGATGAGGAAACTGAGGCATGGAGTATTTTGTCCAAGGTCACACAACTAATATCAGCGTTGCCAAGATGCAAGTCCAGGCAGTCTGGCTCCAGGCCTATGCTATGCTGCTTTTCTGTGCTAAGATGTTTATTCACAATGGGGTTCAGAAAACAGCCAGCAGCAGGCAGCACCTCGGCAGGTCTGTCCCTGGGAGCCCAGGAGATCAAGGGTCCTGGCTGGGGAGAAAGGTGCTCTTGATTAGATACTGGATACCCTTAGAAAGACAAGAGTCCCGTGTGGATGGGCTTCAATCTTCCCAAAGTGCGTGGGTGACACTGTGAGGAGCTAAGCTCAGCTGACAGGGGTGCTGGGCAATGATGCTCAGGCTCCCATGCCCCATACTCACCCATTCATTCATTTATTCGACAATCATTTCAAGGAGCACTTACTATACGCCCGTCTCTTAGGTGCCTGGCGGTAGGTATATCACTTAACAAGAGAGAGCCTTCCATTCAGTGTTTTGGGGAGAAGGGGAAGGATGTCAAACACACACAATTTTTTAACTACAAATTGTGATAAGGGCCTTGAAGGAGCAAAGCAGGGGGCTGCGAAAGGATGTTATAGGAAGGATGACCTAGTCTTCTTCGGAATGAGATTCCTGCACCTCAGTTTTTAAACAGTCATATGGAACTCTAGGGTTCTATGGAAGTTATTTCCAGAGTTATTTAAACCTTTAAATTGAATTTGAATATATACACTATATTTTTAAAAAACAGTAACAAAAAAAGCACATGTGTATACTCAAATGTGCTATATACCACATTGGAAACTGCTAGGTCATTCAGGTATTGACAGGTTAACTTTGTGTGTGTATATGAGGACCCCGGAATAATGTTCTCCAGTCCTTTCTGTGCAGTCACTGGAGCTTATTTTAAATGTGTCTACTAATTAGGAAGGATGCAGCATAATATGTGTCTTATTTTATTTTTAAAAATTCAAGTGTGGCAGTGGCGTATTAGACTTGCCGAGGGAGAGAACAGACCTCAGGTTGCTGGGGGTGGCAGCGGGGGGTGGTGGTGCATGAGAGGGGTGTCAGGGAGAGGTTGGGGGAGGGAAACCAGGAATAACTGCAATCTGAGGTGGTGGACACGTTGATAGTATTGATCTGATCGCCACAACTTGGGCACAGGTGCTGATGCTCTGTGCCCTGTGAATTATGTATAATCAATAAAAATAAAAAATAAAAAAAATTTAAAGAAGAATATGCCACAAAGAATAAAATAAAAATAAAAATTCAGGTGTAAGAAAACTGTTTAACTAGATTTACTACAACTTATTTTTATGAATTATGATTTTCTTGTTATTATGCTGTGAAAACAAAATATAGAAACATATTGAATACTGTAGCCAATGCCAGACTTCGAGTGACATCCATAGCCTCTGGGGTCAAATTGTTATAGCCATGGAAGCAGCTTCATTGTTTTTATTAAGTCTTTTTATGGCAAGTGAATGCTGCATGTTTGAACTTATACATTATCTATTTTACATATATTTTATTTATTCTTTTTTTGCAGCTGGCCAGTCTGCGGATCCAAACTCCTTGACCTTGGTGTTATCACACTGTACTCTAACCAACTGAGCTAACCGGCAGCCACTATTTTATATATATATCTTAAATATTGATATTCTGGGTAGGATTTCAATGAAAGAAGAAACAAGGTTGAAAATGCCCACTTTGGTTCAGAGGTGTTGGAGGCCTGGGCTGGCCTCCTTCCTGCTAACCCCTGCCCCCCATCTTAGGCCCCAGCCTCTCATTGCCCGTCCTCCCCACCCCTCACCTCCCCCACCCCATGGCCTCTCATCCCTCACAGCCTCTGATAGTGGCCTGGGAATTCTCAATAGACAACCCAGCGCTCCTGGGGGATGACACAGCTTGAACCGAACCGGGACTGAGGCAGGTCCCCAAACCAGGCAGAAAAGTCTCCAAGCTGCAAACCCACCCAGAGCTCCAGCCAGTTACCCAGGGCCCCTCCCCAGGCTGGGAAGGGAAGAGAGTCTGGGGCTGCACACTCACCCTTCTTGGTAGCCTCGAAGCTGTCATGGAAGTGAATCCTCTGGATGTCATAGGTCAAGGTGGTGTTGGGCAGCAGAGTCCTATTCCTGTTGATGATGTTGGCAGAAAATCGAAAGGCGTGCTCCTCCGCATTCATGACCTGGGCGTTGGGGCCGTCTGCGTACTCAAAGATCCCTCCTGTGAGAGATGGGCAGAACTGAGCGTGGCGGGGAGGAGGGACGGGGCTCTGGCAAAGATGCTTGGCTCAGATGACTTTACAGACAAGATTTCCCCCCAAAATGTTCAATAATATCCTAGATAATTGCCATACACAGAAATTGTGCTAGAGCTTAAGAAATATGAAAATCCTCCCAGTTCATTTCACTCAGCTAGCAAATTCCTGATCATAGCCTGACAGGGCCAAAAGAAGATTACCACTCACTAGTATTGCTATGAAAATTCTCAATAGCGTTCTGGCAAGTAGAATCTACCAGAATATTACAAGGATAACATACTGTGGCCACATAGAGTTTTATTCCAGGAATGTAGGACTGGCTCTATATAAAGAAATTTATGCCTATCATTCCATCATCTCAATTGTTCAAAGGAGAAAAACAAAACCCATATGATCAACTCACAAAATGCAAGAGATCCAATATCTATTGCTGTTAAGAATGCTTAATAAAATAGCACCAGAAAAGACACTTCCTTGAAGCATGTTGAGCTCAAATCAGCCTTTAATATCACACTTATGGTGAAACAGTAGAGGCTGTCTCATGAAAGAAAAAAAAAAAACAAAGACAGGAGTGAGGATTCATATCATTACCATTAACCAATGAAACAAGAAAGAAAAGGAATTTAGAGGCACAAACTTTGAGAAGCAATAAATTCTTATTTGCAAATGATATAAATCCCCTCCCAAAACCCTTAAAATAATCACAAA